AAAACTCAAGGTTCTCTCGAATTGTCAGATTTTGTTAGAGGAAGAATAGTTAGTCAAGCAAATGGTGGAATAAGTCAGAGGCAAATTTCACAGAATTTGGGAATCCCGCTTTCGACAGTCAACAGAATCATCGTGTAGTTCAGGAAACATGGCAAAGAAACAACTGAGCAGCGTCCAGGTCGTCCTGATCCATCAGAGAGGACAAAAAGTGCTGTCAAGAGGAGCATCGAAATGGATCCCAGCTTCACGACTGCAGAAGTGGCCAAAGTTGGTGGGATGAGCCCAAAATCTGTTCAACGGATTCTCCACAGATCGGGAGCAGCTAGACGGAAGCCCTTATTAAGACCTGCCAACATAGTCAGACGAAAGAAGTGATATGATGACCAAGCCTCTGGACTTTTGGAAGACCGTATTGTTCTCAGACGAATCAAGATTCGCTCAATTTTCGAACAGTGGAAGGATATGGGTCTAGAGAATGCTTCACCAAGAGTTTTGGCTCGACAGATTGCAGCCAACTGTGAAGCATGGTGGTTTCAGCGTGATGGTTTGGGGAGCTGCTTGGGTTAGTGGTAGATTGAGCTTAGTGGAGTGCGTTAGCAACATAAATTTTGCCAAATACATCGAAATATTGGAGGAAGGACTCTTGCTACTTTATTCTTCGGGTTTCGTGGACAAGAACACAACGTTGTTCCAGAAAGATGGATCACCGTGTCACACTGCTAGAAACACCCAAAAGTGGCAGGAAGATCATGGTATCCAGAAGTTGCCCTGGCCGAGCCAATTTCCTGACATGAACTCCATCGAAAACCTCTGGGCCATACTTGACCGGCAAGTCAAGAAACAACCAAAAAACCAACTTCGAAGAGCGATCTACTCCAAGTTTTGAAGCAAGAGTAGGCGAAAATCCCACAATCTAAAATTGACGAGATGATTCTCACGATGCTCCAAAGGATCAAAGAACTCCATGAAGCGAAAGGAAGATCTACTAGATATTAATTAAATTATAAATATATCAATTCATGTGAATATGACTGAAAAATTTCATTTTTTTCTGAAATGTGGTGTCTATTTACTTGTGACCATGCTGTGTATATACCGAGTTTAGCACGTAATATTAAAATGATTTTGGGACCTCACTACGTCGTTACAGTTCATGTTGTCATCTTCAGTCATGCTCTATCTGACAACTATGCATCTTAAAAATAACCCTACACCAAAGTTTCCATTGCATAAAACTTCATTATAAGGCTGTTTAAAGCACACCACTTTTTTCCTTTTGTCTTAAATAATCCACCTCGGATACGAGGATGATAGTTCATTTCAACAGTCCAATCACACACAAGTCCACAGGTATTGCGTATGAAATAATTTCAGTTACTTGAGATATTCGATGATTAAATTGATATATCGCGGAATAAACTCGTATCTACATAATTAGAATCGATTTTACAAATGGATACTCATCTTGATCATTTTGCGTCCTGTTGCCTTGATCACATAGACAACTTTTGCCATGAGATTCGTGCTTACCATACCTAGAGTTTGGATTGTTAAGGACTCTTTCTGAATGGTTCTGGTTCTCAAATTGATCCATATTTTTTTTTCAAATGCTATAAAGCACTAAAAATATCCCACGTTGGAAGTTCTAAATCCCTGATCTGAACAAGTTCTTATGGTTGGAAAGTGGACAATTTACGTCAGAGGAGGTTGTCACATGCCCTTCCTAAAGCATCCAATTTTTGGTAACATCACAGTAGCTACATGACGCAAAATAATTTCCAAATCTAGTTGTGATACACTCTTTTCCACCGTGGCTTTACATCAGCTGTAGTTATCATGTGACCTTTTGATCTGCATGTTCAAAATTGATTTAATATTACGTACTCAATCTTCTCTACAACAAATAATTATATGTAACATTACTCAGCTATATAGATATCAATTCCAGGTTTACATCTTATTTTTTCATACGTATAGATATCCAACGTTCATTCTCGATAACATTTAAACAATCAATGTTTCCAATCATACGTATAGATATTCAACGTTCATTCTTAGAAATATTTAGAACAATCAATGTTTCCAATCATATCTTTAGATATCCAACGTTCATTCTTAGAAATATTTAGAACAAGCAATGTTTCCAATCATACCTTTAGATATCCAACGTTCATTCTTAGAAATATTTAAAACAATCAATGTTTCCAATCATACGTATAGATATCCAACGTTCATTCTTAGAAATATTTAAAACAATCAATGTTTCCAATCATACGTATAGATATCCAACGTTCATTCTTAGAAATATTTAAAACAATCAATGTTTCCAATCATACGTATAAATATCCAACGTTCATTATTAGAAATATTTAAAACAATCAATGTTTCCAATATTCTTGAACGATGAATGGTTTAAACGTTAATCTGAGTTCTTTTGGCAGATGAAATTTCAAATGAACCTAATCCCTGCTCTACTGGGTCCAGTGGTTACCATTGTGGTGAAGATGAGAACCTTGTTTGTCAAGAGTATTGGGAAGGTCCAAATGACGGAATCACAAACTTTGACAACTTCGGTCTTGCCATGTTAACTGTATTCCAGTGTGTAACATGTGAAGGATGGACAGATGTAATGTATTATGTAAGTTACTTAAATGAAAACCATTTCAGAAAATCTTAAGACAAAATTCTTCTGCATTGTTATCTTGGTGAGAGTTTAAACAGATACCAAAAATAAAATAACATAGTATCTAAATCCTTCTACCTTGTGAGTGAACTTGAAACATTAACCAATTATTATTTATTTATAGTCGATTAATTTCAGCCCAGGGGCTGGCGGGCCATTAGATGGTTGCACATTCTATTTGACCAAGAGTTCTAATGAGACTGACGAATGAAAGTAAATAATGGACTTGTAACTTTATCAGTCAGTACATGAAAACGTGTATATGGAACTTGCTATTATTTGAAAATGAAGTTAAGATAGAAGCACAAAAAGTGGAGGACGTTTGAAAGAAAAGAAGCCTTTAGATATATATAACTGAGTGAATTTGGCATTGGAAGACTCACGTGATTGGGATCATCAACTGGAAGAAACATGACATACAAGTTTAAGAGATGATCAGCTGATGGCCAGGGTTTCTTTGTAGGATACCAGAAAATAGGACATTTTGACAGATCACACAAATTTGGTGCGAAGTTTATGTAGATGTAAAAGTATTGAAAGAGAAATGCTTATATCATACATCTCCTTTATAGGTCTAGGGAGTTTGATTTTAAAAGCAATTTCCAAGATTTTAAGACCACTATAAAAGACAAAGGACTTATATGTGATTAAGAGAAGGGGTGGATTTAAACCATTAAGACGTTAAGTGAATTTATAGTTGAGAGCTGGGATTTCCAAGAGATATGTTTATGACATCAAGAAATATAAAATTGTCATAGAACTGGTTGGGCACGTTGTCAATGATGATATTAAATGGATGGAATACGACATCAAGTAACATGAAATAGTCAGAGAACTGGTTTGTAACGTTTTCAATGTTGACATTAAATCTTTATCATTTACTAAGATCAAAAAGTATCACTCTTGTTTTAGTGTCATTAATTGTAAGAAGCCAGCGACGAATCCAAGACAGTTTACTACAGCATGAAGAACTCATAGTCTCACAGGTGGCCACAATAGAATTATGATCTGCATATTGGTATAATTCAACAAGATAAATCAGTTTAGGCTTATCAGCAACATACATAGTATACAGTAAAAGTAATAGAACATAGTATTGTAGAACGCCAGCAGAAAGAATGAAAGATCGAGAGAGAATATTTGCAAGAGATATAACTGTACCTCGTGTACAGAGAATCTTTTCAGAGATATAACTGTATGTCGTCTATACAGGATCTTCTCAAGAGACATAACTGTACGTCGTCTACAAAGAATCGAGTTGACATCTCAGGTGTAGGTAAGTTATCGCTTGAAACGAATGATTAACCTATGGTGGCAGATAGATTAACCCACGGTGCCAGTCTAAGTCGAAAGCTCGCTCAAGTTCAAAATTATCTGTTAGGTTTAAATAATTGGAGACAAAGTCCGATAATTTGAGAAGTTGATCTAGTGTTGATAGCTATAGACGAAAATCAGTCTGGATAGATGGCAAGATTTGGTGATCAGCAATAAATCTGTGGAGTCGATGAGCTAAAATTAGTTCACTAAGAGAATGATTGGTCGAATCAAGAATATCTTCAAAGTTGAGATATATTATTCCGGAGTTGTAAAATTAGTTGAATAAAATGAGGCAAAAATATTCGCTTTTTCAAATGAGGAAGTAGGCACAAGACCAACTAGAAGTGGATGCCTGTTCATATATTGGGAAGGAAATATCGAAGTTGGTTGTGTACCTGGTGCCATCGCCGCTTCTTTACTATTCGTTTAAAATTATGGACAGTCCGTTGGAGACTTTTATGACGTAATAATGTACATGGGTCAAGAAAGCGACAATAGACCTGAGGTGACGACGAAGATAGATGCAAGAGATCCACTACTCGGCGAGGAAAAACTGGATTATGTGGTGTATGGTGATGAGTTGGAGCATGTAAGGAACTGGCAGGGGTGAAGGCATTTGAAAGAACGTTTTCCAATGAACTAACCTGATCAATAGAGGAAAGATTCATAACAACATTGGAGATCTCTCTTTCAACATGAAGCCATTAAAGAAAGGCAATCGCATTAAGGTAATTGAAAAATATCTTATTTATGTGAGGGTGATCTGAGGTTACCCTGGTCGATAGCTACCCACACCTACTGAATATAGGGGAAAAGCTAGATTCACTGAATCTATAACAACATGTAGTGAATAATTTTACTCTAGATGGTTTCAAGAAGGAGATAGGCTTAGCTAGATTAGCGTAAAGTAGTTTGAAACTGGATGATTTCTGAGATGTCTTGCTATGGTACTTGATATTGGACAAGGTAATATATAATTATATGATATTTTATTCAAGTAGTAGAAGAAGTCATGAGATAGGGGAATATCAGAACTAACAGATATAGTAGTTATTGTGACGATTCTGGAAGTAAAGTAGACAGTGAAAATAAGGTGTTCAGGAAAATATATTACTAGGAATATAATGAAGACGTATCAGGAGCCACAACAATGGGATTATCATATTAATAGGAGCTATAGCAATGGCATTATCATACTAATAAGCGCTACAGCAATGAGACTATCATACGAATAGAAGCCACAGCAATGGGATTATCATACTAATAGGAGCAAAGCAATGGGATTATCATATTAATAGGAGCTATATCAATGGGATTATCATACTAATAGGAGCTACAGCAATGAGACTATCATACTAATAGGAGCCACAACAATAGGATTATCATATTAATAGGAGCTACATCAATGGGACTATCATACAAATAAGAGCTGTAGCAATGGGATTAGTATACTAATAGAAGCCACAGCAATGGGATTATCATACTAATAGGAGCTATATCAATGGGATTATCATATTAATAGGAGCTATAGCAATGGGATTATCATACTAATAGGAGCTATAGCAATGGGATTATCATACTAATAGGGGCTACAGCAATGGGATTATCAGATTTTGGAGGTGGTTCCCCGACATTTATAGGAATATTTGGGAGGGCCTAGCAATTCACATTGAATTGGTTCAATTTAGTATACTGTCTGGCTGATGAAGATCTCGATGCTGGGGGCAGACTGACTTGTTAAGACGCTTGACAGTGTTATAACTCATGCACGTTTCGCAGCACGAGGTTGTTTAAAGATGAAAGCACCGTGTTGAAGAAGGCGGCCAATTACATCATCGATTTATGTTAAACATAAATGACGTTAGCTGGTTCTTGATCATTGTTAATGCGTTTTGCTCAACTTATCTTCTATTACCGCATTTATATGTAAAAATTTCTTTTTCTGAAACAGTTGGATCTACTCGAAGAATGACGCATGAGAACTGTGGCGTTCGACGAGGTAGTTAGTGGCTGTTGTTTAAGATGAGGGGATTCCAGCTTTGTTTAATATAAGGGGATTCCAGCTTCTGTATGGCAGTGTTAGGGCCTAAAATTGTGATCCCCATTTCAACACAAATGGTGTAAGTAGCTGATAATTATACGTCTTAAAGATACTACCATTAAAAATTGGTATAAGCTGATGGATGTCAGCTCGAAGACAATGCTTAAAGATCTCCAAAAAGAGTCGTATAGAACATATGAGATAGTGAAAACAAAAGAGGTCCGGGTGGAGAAGGCACAGAAGATGATGTGGCTAAATTGAAGTGTTATAGCAGAAGAAAAAATACCGAAGTTACATGTAGTAGCAGGTAGTGGTGTAGCAGTCAATAAAGAAGGATTACACGGATTTCAGGGATTCATGGCTGGGTCGGGAATAAAGTTTGTCACATTAACCGTCATAAGATGGCGAGCAGACGAAACAGATGGAGATAAAAACGTAGAGTTGTAGAAACTATAAGTAACAGTAATACAATAGACGTGTTACTGACCAAAACGATAACTGCAGTCAATAGTCGAACTGATAAATTTAACAATTTCGTGATATTCTCCTGTGAATGTTCATTGATGAAAAAACGTTTCATTAACAATCAAAAAAGAGGTAAAGTTATAAGAATGTAAGAGATTTATAGCTTCATTGGAAATGTCTTTTATATCACTCCAGATTTCTAATACTGTTAAAACATGTTTCAGATTTTCTATAAATTGATTTCTTTTCAGATGAATGATGCCGTAGGAAATGAATGGCCGTGGATTTATTTTCTTAGTCTCATTATCATAGGTTCATTCTTCGTACTTAACCTTGTGTTGGGTGTCTTAAGTGGGTAAGTAACGATTTCTAAACATTATTATAGTTTCATTATTTCTACTTAATGTTGTGTTGGATGTGTTCAGTGGGTAAATAGTGACGATCTTGCGTATTTTGTTTTAATATGTATCACAAGCAAAGTTCGAATAAATAATCAAACTTACGTTGACGTGTATTTTGTTTTAACGCTTTTAACGTAAAGGAATTCATAAATTCGATAAACTGGATACTGCTGGTGAAACTAAGTTTTTAGTGCAAGGCTACACAATGGGCTAATTTCCTTTTATCTACCCCACGGATCCGATCCCTGGATTTTAGCGTTGTAAGAACTGGATGTCAGACTTCGTTTTACTTTCAAACAACAAACGTGAACAAATCTAAGTAATTTTTAAAATTTTTCATCCAGTCAAACCAGAACGTAGATAATTAACTTAATCAAAATGTTAAAGAACAACATAGGTTTATTTAAATATGTACTGTACCTGATAAAACTATATATGAAAGGTAAGAAATTAGGGATCTGCTGATTACCAAACACAACTTACGTTATCCACGTCTGGTTACCAAACTCAACTTTCGTTATCCACATCTTGTTACCAAACTCAACTTTTATATCCACATCTTGTTACCAAACTCAACTTTTATATCCACATCTTGTTACCAAACTCAACTTTCATTATCCACATCTTGTTACCAAACTCAACTTTTATTATCCACGTCTTGTTACCAAACTCAACTTTTATTATCCACATCTTGTCACCAAACACAACTTTTATATCCACATCTTGTCACCAAACACAACTTTTATTATCCATGTCTTGTTACCAAACTCAACTTTATTATCCATGTCTTGTTACCAAACTCAACTTTTATATCCACATCTTGTTACCAAACTCAACTTTTATATCCACATCTTGTTACCAAACTCAACTTTCATTATCCACATCTTGTTACCAAACTCAACTTTCATTATCCACGTTCTTGTTACCAAACTCAACTTTTATTATCCATGTCTTGTTACCAAACTCAACTTTTATATCCACATCTTGTTACCAAACTCAACTTTTATTTCCACATCTTGTTACCAAACTCAACTTTTATCATCCACGTCTTGTTACCAAACTCAACTTTTATATCCACGTCTTGTTACCAAGCTCAACTTTTATTATCCCTGTCTTGTTACCAAGCTCAACTTTTATTATCCATGTCTTGTTACCAAACTCAACTTTTATTATCCATGTCTTGTTACCAAACTCAACTTTTATTATCCATGTCTTGTTACCAAACTCAGCTTTTATTATCCATGTCTTGTTACCAAACTCAACTTTTATTATCCATGTCTTGTTACCAAACTCAACTTTTATTATCCACGTCTTGTTACCAAACTCAACTTTTATTATCCACGTCTTGTTACCAAATTCAACTTTTATATCCACGTCTTGTTACCAAACTCAACTTTTATTATCCCTGTCTTGTTACCAAACTCAACTTTTATTATCCATGTTTTGTTACCAAACTTAACTTTTATTATCCATGTCTTGTTACCAAATTCATCTTTTACTATCCACGTCTTGTTACCAAACTCAACTTTCAGTATCCACGTCTTGTTACCAAATTCAACTTTTATTATCCACGTCCTGTTACCAAATTCAACTTTTATTATCCACGTCCTGTTACCAAATTCAACTTTTATTATCCACGTACTGTTACCAAATTCAACTTTTCTTATCCACGTCTTGTTACCAAACTCAACTTTTCTTATCCACGTCTTGTTACCAAACTCAACTTTTCTTATCCACGTCTTGTTACCAAACTCAACTTTTATATCCACGTCTTGTTACCAAATTCAACTTTTATTATCCATGTTTTGTTACCAAATTCAACTTTTATTATCCATGTTTTGTTACCAAATTCAACTTTTATTATCCATGTTTTGTTACCAAACTCAACTTTTATATCCACGTCTTGTTACCAAATTCAACTTTTATTATCCATGTTTTGTTACCAAACTCAACTTTTCTTATCCATGTCTTGTTACCAAACTGAACTTTTATATCCACGTCTTCTGAACAGAGAATTCTCCAAAGAAAGAGAAAAAGCTAAGGCGAGGGGGGACTTTCATAAACTGAGGGAGAAGCAACAAGTAGAAGAAGACCTTCGTGGTTACTTGGATTGGATTACTCAAGCAGGTAAGACAGCAAGTTGCCAGAACTCCAATATACAAACTTGTTAGTTGACATAATTACAAAATATATTAACAACAAGTTATCATAACTACAAAATACATTAACAACAAGTTATTTTAACTACAAAATACATTAACAACAAGTTGACGTAACTACAAAATACATTAACAACAATTTATCATAACTACAAAATACATTAACACCAAGTTGACATAACTACAAAATACATTAACACCAAGTTGACATAACTACAAAATACATTAACACCAAGTTGACATAACTACAAAATACATTAGCACCAGGTTGACATAACTACAAAATACATTAGCACCAGGTTGACATAACTACAAAATACATTAGCACCAGGTTGACATAACTACAAAATACATTAACAACAAGTTGACATAACTACAAATACATTAACACCAGGTTGACATAACTACAAAATACATTAGCACCAAGTTGACATAGCTCCATATGTACATTAACACCAAGTTGACAGAGCTCCAAATGTACATTAACACCAAGTTGACGTAACTACAAAATACATTAGCACCAAGTTGACGTAACTACAAAATACATTAGCACCAAGTTGACGTAACTACAAAATACATTAGCACCAAGTTGACATAGCTCCAAATGTACATTAACACCAAGTTGACATAGCTCCAAATATACAAAGACAGAAGTTGACATAACTCAAATATACAAAGACGATAAGTTGCCATAGTTCCAAATTACATATACAACAAGTTATTCAAACTACAAAATATATAAAGAAGTTGTCATAACTCCAAAATACATTAACAAGTTGTCATAACTCGAAGATACATTAACAAGTTGTCATAACCACATAGAACAAAGACAAGCTTGTATATTTATTACGCCCACTTCAGCTGTTTGTCACACAATATAATTAATATCACATTCACACTTGTGTCAGATTTTTCACACAATATAATTAATATCACATTCACACTTGTGTCAGATTTGTCACACAATATAATTAATATCACCTTCATACTTGTGTCAGATTTATATGCTAAGTCTGCAGTTAATCAAGTTTTATATCACTATAAGTGTATTAGTTTTTTAAGACTTAAATTTGAGTTTATAAATATTAAGTGTACGATTAATGTACGTTTTTATTTGATATGTTTAAGATTTATATTATTTTAAGTTGTGTTATTATCACGTTGTAATTGACTGTGGTATTATGAATATTATCAGTGTTTATTAGATAGAATATGATGCTGATCATGATATAACATCATTTACAGAGGATATCGATCCAGATGAAAAGGAAGGAAGTGAAGATGCTAGACATGGTAAACTCAAGACGTAATATCAAACACGTGGTTACTGAACCACGTGTAAAAGTTATGTAATGTAGAAGTTTTAAAGATTAAGTACTTTAGACACTCACAGTGATTACCAGAATGACAATCATTAAGTACTTTAGACACTCACAGTGATTATCGGAATGACAACCATTAAGTACTTTAGACACTCACAGTGATTATCGGAATGACAACCATTAAGTACTTTAGTCACTCACAGTGATTATCGGAATGACAATCATTAAGTACTTTAGACACTCACAAAGATTATCGGAATGATAACCATTAAGTACTTTAGACACTCACAGTGATTACCGGAATGACAACCATTAAGTACTTTAGACACTCACAGTGATTATCGGAATGACAACCATTAAGTACTTTAGACACTCACAGTGATTATCGGAATGACAACCATTAAGTACTTTAGACACTCACAGTGATTATCGGAATGACAAGCATTAAGTACTTTAGTCACTCACAGTGATTATCGGAATGACAATCATTAAGTACTTTAGTCACTCACAGTGATTACCAGAATGACAATCATTAAGTACTTTAGACACTCACGGTGATTATCGGAATGACAATCATTAAGTACTTTAGACACTCACAGTGATTATCGGAATGACAATCATTAAGTACTTTACACTCACGGTGATTATCGGAATGACAACCATTAAGTACTTTAGACACTCACAGTGATTATCGGTATGACAACCATTAAGTACTTTAGACACTCACAGTGGTTATCGGAATGACAATCATTAAGTACTTTAGACACTCACAGAGATTATCGGAATGATAACCATTAAGTACTTTAGACACTCACAGTGACTCTATAAATGACAACCATTAAGTACTTTAGACACTCACAGTGACTCTATAAATGACAAACCATTAAGTACCTTAGTCACTCACAGTGACTCTATAAATGACAAACCATTAAGTACCTTAGTCACTCACTGACTCTATAAATGACAAAAATTAAGTACTTTGGACATTGAAAGTGGTTATCTGAATATCAACCATGAAGTATTTTGGTCACATAAGCTCTTTAAATATTTAATGTTATATTCAAATTACCTACTACAAAAATGTATGGTTCTAATGACATAAAAATCCTGTTGGAAAGAAACATTTGTGTAATTAATGAGTTGATGGAAAAATCTTAATTTAATTAATGAATTAATGGAAAAATCTTAATTTAATTAATGAATTAATGGAGAAATCTTAATTTAATTAATGAATTAATGGAGAAATCTTAGTTTAATTAATGAATTAATGGAGAAATCTTAGTTTAATTAATTAATTAATGCTATAGGTTATGATAGAAATAATTTTTGTAATCAACTGCTTTTAATGTAATTTCGTCTAGACGCTTACACGGTCAAGCAAAACGAAATTGATGTTGGAGATAAGTTAGAAGGAGAGACTAGCAGTGCAGATAATCTAAAACCTCCATCATGGTGGACAGTCAAAAGGTCACTATCTTTTTTGTTCTAAAACTGTTTCAGCTAAATACATATAGATATAATACCAAAGGTAGTTATAGAGGAGAATTCGTAAGTTAAAATATATTCTGATTTGTATAAACAACCCGAAGCGATGTATTTTAATTGGAATGACTTGTTGAGTAGAGATGATAGATGAGAACGTTTATTGTTATCGTACAGGAGTGAGCGATGTGCCTTATTAGGAATAGTGGTGTATATATTAAAGGACTAGTTAGAAGATGCAATGGTAAAAGAAAGGATAAACATACTATAGAAGAAAAGTAGAAAATTATGAAGACCTTAGACAATATAGTTTGTAAAGACGAATGAATGTAGTGTTAACTATTGTTTTCAAATTACAAAAAACTGTTGTGTGGAGACAATATCTACGTGTATATCTAGAATATAGAACCAACTTGTATGTTAGTCTGGGTTCATTCTCCAGTAAAATTCTTTATTGTACTAACTGGTCACGATGTCCATTTAAAAACTTGGTCACTGTAAACTTAGTTGGTAATGATGTTCACTTGCAAAGTTAGTAGTAGATTCTTTTCTTTGTTGATCAGTAGAGCTTTTCCATTTCCATCCTGATCAGTGGTGTATTCCCCTTTTATCTTGGTCAGTAGAGGTACACACTCTCATCTTGGTCAGTAGAGGAATCCACTTTCATCTTGGTCAGTAGAGGTATACACCTTCATCTTGGTCAATAGAGGTATCTACTCTCATCTTGGTCAATTAAGGTATACACGTTTATCTTGATCAATAGAGGTATACACTCTCATCCTGGTCAGTCGAGGTATCCACGTTCATCTTGGTAAATAGAGGTATACATCTTCATTATAGTCAATAGGGGTATACACTATCATCTTGGTCAGTAGAGGTATACACTTTCATCTTGGTCAATAGAGATATCCTCTTTCATCTTAGTCAATACACGTATCCACTTTCATCTTGGTCAATAGAGGTATCCACTTTCATCTTGGTCAATAGAGGTATCCACTTTCATCTTGGTCAATAGAGGT